TCGGCCCAGCAGTGGGGCTTTGCAGCCTCACAGGCCAGCGTCCCCATGGCTCAGGCACGCCAGGGGCTCCAGGGGTCTTAGAGCTGCATCTGCCTGACTTTGGGTGGTGGTTGTATAGACATAGAGCACTGCATAGCTCTCTGAGAGTAGAGGGTTTTCTTTTCATTGTTTATTAGAAAGGCCGGGGTCTGGATGCGCAGCAGGGAACTCAGGCTCTCCGCCTCACCAGGAGCCGTCCCCTCCTAGGAAAGCCAGTCCTCCCAGGTCAGCACTTCCTCCGGCTACTTTGGGGATTAAGGAATTGGAAGGCCTTAGCCAGCAATGTGATGCTCAGGGCAGTCCTTCCCAGTGGACTAAGTGGAGGAGTACCGACCCGCCTTCTCTCCTAATAGCTTCTTGGGCCAGAGGCCAGACTATGAATGACAGAAAGATGCCGCTAGAAGGAGCCTTACAGTAACTGTCTAGAGGCCAGAGGACCAGGCGCCTCAGGGTCCCACGGGGACGTTCGCACACTGCAGACTCACTGTGGAGCACAGGGGGCGGGGCCTGGCTTTCCCAGCTGTGGGGTCCTCCCACCATGCGGGGTACAGGGTGCAGGGTACGCCAGGGCTGGAGGGGGCTGTGGCCAGGCAGGGCAAGAGTGGCCTGGGCAGTCGCCTGGTGGGAAGTGGGTCTTTTGGGTCACGTGCCACAGAAGATGCACAAGGCAATGACTTCCATTTCATCCCAGTACCGAGTGATAACCCTGAAGGAGGGTACATCTGCCAGAAGAATCCGCAAGACACTCTCACAGTCAAGTCTCTCTTCCTGTTCCTCGTGTGTCTATTGAGGGCCTTCTGCACTGGGAGCAGGTTTCGGGATGTTTCTGTCCCAGGACTGCTTTCTCTCATCTCAGCTCCTTCATGGCAGATTCTGACGCCTCAGGCCGGGGAGCCGTGGGGGAGCAGCAGACCTTCATGCATCTGCTCGTCCACTCCTCTGGTTTATTCAACGCTGTCTTCCGGAGAATAAGAGGTGCGCCTCTTTCGCACAGTTCTTCACTTGAGAACGAGGGGCCTGGAGTTGGGAACTGGGTGTCACGTGTGTGGCCTCTGGAGCCGTTGTCCATCTGGGTGGGGAGGCCGGGGAACCCATGGGCCGGGACCTGGCCCCACGTGCAGGATGTCTGTCCATCCCTTGGAGGCCTTTCCAGGGTCTTTCTAGCCCAATGGACAGGCACAGGGGCACCACCCTAGCTCACTCCGTGACCCCACCCCAGGCCACGCTGGTGTCGGGGTTGTCGTGCTGTCGGGGTTTCCATCGCTTCTGAAAGGTAGGGGAATGGGGTGTGCGCTCTGGGTCCGCAGGCCTGGGGGCAGGTGCAGGGGCGGGCCACCGACCTGCGTCCTGGCCGAGCCGTGACGCCACCTGTTTACAGCGGCTCCGGCAAAGCCGCTTATTGGATTAGCAGGCCAAGGAGAGGCTGTGTTTCATGTGCGGCTTCAGGGAATTCCTGCTTTCATTTGAGCTGGCCTCTGAGCCTCGTTCGCAGGGTGCTGGGAGGTAGGAAGGCGCACCCAGGAGTGCATGTGCCCCTCTTTTGCTGAACAGATGGTCTTAGCAGCCACGGCCTGTCAGACATAGGCGGTGGACCTCGGCGTATCCCTCTTCCTCATCCTCTGGCCCAAGGCTGACGCCGCTCACCTCCAGTCTCCTTTCCACCAACTTTCAGAAGCTCCTGGGACAAGGGGTCCGAGATGCTGGCCAGCTCCTCGGCCTGCCTCTTCTCGGGGGTGTGTGCTGCCCTGGTCGCTGTGGCTCTGGCCTATTACTTCTACTGGTGAGCGTGGCCTGGGCACGGGGGCCGGGCCGTCCTGGGGAGGGGCTCCCGGGTGCTTGTTTCCCTTGGCTCGTCCCCTCCCGTTCTCTGCAGGTCCCCTGCCCCCTGGGACGGGGACCCCGTGGTGGGTAGGGAGACGAGTCTCCATCGTCTGGTTACTTCCAGAGTGCAGCTCAGCTGAGCCCCACCTCACCAGGTCCTGTGGGGTTATCCTACCCTTCAATGGATGCTTTTTTGTCTGGAACTTTCCTGCAGAAGGTTCAGAGGTTTTAGCCTGCTGCGTAGCATACCAGTAGGGGCTCGGTAAGTTCCTGAGAAGGAGAAAAACCCCGTGCTCCGAGCGGAGTTCACCCTGTCCGCTTCCGCATTGCTCTCTGGCCTCTTATCTCACGTCTCCCAGGGAGGGTGCTGCCAGGGGACTGCTGATTTACAAGGTAGGCTGTAAATTAAGCAGAAAATGGGTAGTTTCCATCAAAGGGAGGCCACCTGCTGTACCCATAAATGATGAGCTGGTTTATGGCGAATCGCTGATGACCCTTTCTGGCTGTCGTGACTGGAGTGCACATGCGTTCTCACTACGAAGGTGGGAATCGGAGAGGCGTCATGGCCACACTGGCCTGGGGTTCTGGAGGCTCAGTTCCAGCCCGACCACTCACGAGGCTGTGATGGTAAATGGGCATGTGTGCTCTGAGACCCCAGTTTGCGTCTGTAAAATGGGATACTGATGTCTGCCCTGTCTCTGCACATGACAACCTCTGTACACGGGGCGATGATAATGGCACCGCGTGATGGGTGTCATCCAGACGGGGCCAGCACCTGCCTGATGGTGGGTGTTTTCAGGGGGCCGTGGGGAAAACCAGAACCCCAGGTCTGGGGCTGACTTTATTTTCCAGAGCTGGAGAACGTGGTAATTTCCTGTGAGGAGACGTCTGCTGTCCCGAAGGTTCTGTCTCTGGATTATTTTTGTTCCCTGAGACACACTTGGTTGGTTGGGAATTCTCGTCTCCCATCAGGAAGCTTTCTCTTCTGTTGATCCGATTAATGCTGCTTCTGTTTCTGAGAAGGCGGCGCGCTGCAGGCAGCAAGGCCGTCAGACGGGGCAGGGCTTGTCCCTCTGGCTCCAGGGCCCCTGCGACCCGTGTGCCCAGGCCGCAGCGTGGCCCTTTCCTGCCCCACGCCACGAGCTCGGAGCCCCGTCCTCCCAGACTCTGTAGTCATTTACTTCTTAGAATGAGTTTATGCCCCAGAGGTATTTGCATTTTAGGTCTTAGGTAAAAATGATTGGTACAGTTTACAAAGAGAATTACAAGGAACTGACAGAGGGACACCTCAGTGTGGGGTTTAGGGAGGAATTAGCCCCGGTGAGGGGAAGAGAGGTGTTCGTCCCTTGTTGCAGGAGTTTTGGGCCTCGGTGAGTGTGAGGGAAGGCAGTTGTTGGTGAGGAGGTTCCTCACACCCCAGGAGGCCCCCACAGGAGGAGCGACCACTTACTTTGTCATGAACTTGGGGACACTTTTGGGAGTGAAGGGCCCTGGCACAGGTGTGCTGCACCCCCACCCACAGGTGGCCTCCCCGTATGGGGCCGCCCTTGGGCACCTGGGTGGGAGGCAGGTGTGTCGGCAGCGAGGGCTTGCTCCACCTCGTCACTTTGTTATTGACGGCCCACCGAGACAGCAAGAGGAGAGGCGGCTTGTGCAGGTTCTGAAGGCCGCCTCCCTGCTGGTCCCGCACGGGGCGTGGTGGGGCTGGTCAGTCAGGCCTGACCTGAGAAGGGGCGCCGTCTGAACGACCCCCCAGCAGACCGCCCCCCTCTCCAGGGGAGGTGCACGCTGGTTTTCTAGTCCCGTCTGTCCTCTGACGTCTCCTCTTCTGACACTTGTCCCAGCCACTAAATGATCGCTTGATCCACAAGTGGGTAGATACTCTGTTCAAAGGACATTCTTGAAGCTTGTGACCTGACTGGAGGAGTCAGGCAGCCCCAGCCAAGCCCTTCCGAGTCCCTGTCCTCGTCCCTGATGCTCAGAACTGGGAGAAAATGTTGAGGTTTTCCTTCTCGGGGTCTACAGAACTGTCTCCTCCCCAGTTATTACTGGACTTGGGCTGCCTTTTCAGCTGCTGTTCTCCCCGGTGACCCCGTGTCCTGCTCCGGGCTGGCACTAGCTCCGAGTTGGCGTGGTGGAAGGCCTTCCTGCAGACTGGGCTCCTCCTGCCCCCCTGTGACCAGCACTGACTGGGAGCCCGGCCACTCACGTGACAAAGTCCAGGCTCAGTTCTGCGTCAGAAGGTGCTGGAGAGGAAACCTCCATTCCACTGAGGATGCTCCACTTCGTGAGTTTTTAAGCTCTCCAAGGAAAAGGCTCGCGGCCTCCACTGGGGTGTTTTGAGCTGTAGATAATGTAAATCTTGGCTCCAAGAAGCCAGCCGAGACCCTTGTTCTTTCCCTTGCTCTGCTCTGTGGCCCCGTCTTCCTGCCATGCACGGATGGCTGCAGCAGCTACGATATCGCAGCGTCCAGGAGAGGGACCATTTCCGCATCTGCTGCTCTTGCAGGCGAGAACTCTTCCTGTAGAGTCTCCTCAGGCCCAGGTGTGAACCCTTTGCTAGCAAGGGCACTGGACGTGGTCAGCGTGTGGTCTGGGGAAGTAAATGCCCCTGCACCCTGAGGACGGGTCTCTTTCTGAAGGGAAGTCTGGCAAAGCTGCCAGGTCACAGAAGGTGCCACGTGGAGCCTCTGACCAGGTGAATGAGCTCGTGGAGCCCAGCCATGTCCCCTGCGGGTCTGTCTGCAGAGCTGGCACGTTGGGGCACAGTGGCTGGGCTGCAACACTTTGCTCGGTAAGCCCTGCTCCAGCTTCGATGTAAGATCCCCAGGACGCACCTTGGATATGTAAGAAATGTTGGTTCCGACTCTCAACTATGCATCTGCCATCTCTCGTAGGTCACTGTTGTTTTTATTCAAACAATGTCAGCAGTAAATGCTTTCAGACGTTGCACTTTATTAAGATTCATGAAATGCACACTGGACCATAAACTCTTAAGTATGCTTCTTTAAATTGTTAGATAATAGTGAGGTTAAAGTAACCTGCCGACCCACGTACTATTGGGCATGACCTGAGAGCCTGGTAAAATCCACGTTGCGCCTTCCCGCTGCCGAGGAGAGGCGTTGTGCTGAGGACAGCGGGGAGCAGGAGGCGGTCTGGGAGCCGAGATGGGGGGGAGCCGAGATGGGGGCAGCCGCACGCTCTTTGTGGAGAAAAGAGTAAGAGCTGGGTTGCCCTCCTCTCAATCTCAAATGTTTCATGAGTTCATTGACCTTATTGCTGAAGCCATTCGATATTTGGCTTAAGCCTTCTCCTCATCTTCAAAGAAAAGAATTCGGGCCCCTGAGAAATACCTTAATAGGAGAGAGACGTTTTGGCAGCTTGTGTACAGTATGAAGACGGTGAGGGGAGGCCCCAGCAGAAATCGCACTTTAGCTCACTCTCCTGCGTACACACACGCACACACACACGCACACGGACATGCACACACCCTGTTGGTGTGGTTGGTGTAGTCAGTGCCGCCTGTCAAGGGCTCCCAGGGCTGGTTTGTTGGTAAGTTTCCCCATTATCTCAGTTAAAGTGTACCCATCCCTCTGGGCTGTCTTTAAAAAGACAAACTAGCACCAAAACCTAGCAGCAACTGTTTTTAATATTAGTGATTTATAACCATGTTCAAGAATCAGATTCCAACCGTGCCCTTCCAGACGAAACGTGTGTGAGTGTTAAAACCTCGCTAATGCGGACTGCCAAGGGAAAGAGTCTGAACTGGGGAAACTTACAAGAGAGAGCACAGGCTTCACGGAGCACACAGCGTGGGAAAGTAGCTGGTCAGACCATTTCTTTCCTGCACAACTTCTCCGAGTGCATATCAATTGTCACAATGGAGTGGGGCACGCAGAATTCCCAAACTAATGTGACAACGAGACCCTCTTGTAGCAAGTGATTTTTGGGAATTAGCAGCTGTATTGTGCAGTTTTACAATTGCTCTAGAGGATTCAAACACTATTATTCGTAGGGGAAATAGCACCTTTGTTTGCCGGCCTGGGAACCTGAATATCCTTTAAAAATTGGCTTTTAAAGGATCTTTTAGACCTCAGTCTGTTTACAAGGTAGGGAGGGATCCTATAACTGGAAGATTTTTCAAGAACTTTCATGCTTGTTCTTATTTGATCCTCAGAGCCACGCTGTGGTACTGGTAGAAAGTTTATCTTATTCTTATCTTCAAACAAGAAACAAATTCAAAATGATCATGTCACATGCCAAGGCCACAGACAAGAATCCAGTTCCTGAACGCTGGGCCCGATGTGCTTGTGACCAGCACACGCTACTCCTCTTTGGTGGAGAGATTGCAGTTGGTGTGTGGGGGCTGGCGGTGGACATGGACTCGTGGACTGAATTGAAACCTCCTGTAGATCATTTTTGCTTGACTAGGTTACAGAAGGACCTGTTTTCTATTGTTAAAGATGATGTTATTTCATAATCAACATTAATCTGTGCACTAAAATGTTTTTACACTTCTATTACTATAAAAATCGTAACACTCACTGGTTCAAAGAACAGTCAGTTTCCCAGCTGCCTCCTCTTTACACCGCTGCCCTGCAAAGGTAGCCACTTAGAATTAGTCCTGTTCTCATTCTGAATAGTTTGCGTATGCCTCTGTTTCTTGATTTGTTAATTTTATTCAGTTCCCTGACTGATATTTACTGAGCATCTACCACGTGCCAGGTGCTGCTCTAGATTTCTGGTTATCAGTGAATACAATAGACAACCCCTCACCCTCACAAACGTACCTGTGCGCCATTAGGGATTGAGTCAACTAACATGCCTCCTACCTCCTCACCAGTGCTGCCGCTCCGTTTTCTCAGTTAGATTATGATTTTTAGTTATCTTACTGTTCCCTTAAAACCTTCATGTACTTAAACTTTCACTTTTTGTTGCATCAACTTAGACAAATAATTCTTGACCCCCATTATGTAAAATATTTGGGGTTTATGACATTTATGTTCTGTTCTGTAGTTATAATTAAGTTCTCCATGCTTCTTTCATAGGTTGATTCTAAATATTGAAAGTCTAGAAACAGTACTCACAATAAAATTTTTAAAAGTCAGTTGCTTCAGACACTCCAGGGAAGGAACCAGAATCCCAAGGTGTTAAGTCTTTGCTGCTGGAGGAGGAAGATTTAAGCTCTTTATTAAACCAATTGCGGAGAATCATGCCCCACGTTAATTTGATTTACATTTGGATCACAATTTCCTTGCATAGCATTTTTTATTACTTGAAAATCTTAATTGCTTTGCTTTTTATTTTTGAGAAAAGAAACATATTCTTTCTTCAACATCAAAACCTTCCAGCTCCTTGATCATATTCTTTGTTGAACAAATTCTACTTTCTTCTTGAAAGACTTCTGTTCTAATTTGGACCACTTTCCTTCCAGGCCATCTATAAAGTTGTTGTCCTGGCACTTCTTTTCATTGTGTAACGGGGCTATTTCTTCTTTTTCTTAAATCCCATGTCTTCCCCTTTATTAGCTTCTTCCTTGTTTTGCTCAACTATGTCCTCAAGTAATCTTTTCACAAAGGATGAGCAGAAGTTGAATTTTCTGAAAACCTTGAGACTGCCATAACTTCTGTTTTCATTCTTTGTATCACTCAGGATCCTGAGAGAAAACAAATGGTATTGGAGCTGTGTAAAGCGAGGATTTAGTTAATAAAGGGGCTATTTACAAAGGTGTGGGCAGGGATTAGAGAAAGTGATAAGAAAGTAAAAGAACTTGAGTCAGAGTGTTCTTGCTGATAGTGTGGCTTATTTCAGCCAGATTTTCATGGGAAAGGAAAGGGTCCAGGGGAAAGTAGGAGGAGGATCATGGGACGAAATTTTACTTTTCTTGGTGCCAGGGTCCAAAGTCTGTGAAATGTGTAGAGTGACCACGTTTTGGATTGTGCTCAGGCATCAGATTCTAGAGAAAACCCGGTTGCGTTCCTGCTGTTGACCTGAAGGTTTCAGCCCGAGAGCGCGGGTGAAGTGGCCACTGCTGGTGGGCGCTTCAGCGTTTCAGGATGTTCATAATGAAAGGAGCCGTCCGTAGTAGAAAGGCATTGTTCTTATCTTGGTTCAGTCAGTAGGCCTGTTAATTGGTGTATATGTTACAATTCAGAAAAATCAGTGTAGTGGGAGTGCGGGAGTTACACAGGAAAGAAGAGCCATAATTCCGGGTGCATTTTCCAAAGGAGACTGGGCTGAGTGCCTGGCCCTTCATGCGAAGTGGGCGCAAGTGTTCCACTTCTGTTAGAATTTTCCAGCAGCTCTGCCAGATGTAAGAGGGAGGACTTGGAGTTTCTATGCAATTAGAAGGAATTAAAAATTAAAAGCAATTAAAAAAATTTAAATGTTGCAAAGTCATTCCTAAGCCGTTGGCATTTTTTAGATAAAGGCCGTCTCGTATTTTTGAAAGATTGATTTGGATGGTAAAACTTGTAGGCAGGTCTCCCCAAACATTTATGGAATCAGGAAGTGCCTTGTGTGGACCAATTGAATACACACATGGAGCCAGCAAGTTCTAGTCTAACTTTTTAGTTTCATTTAATCTAAGAAAGATCCCTAAGATTAGTGTGACAGATGCCCCACCTCTCTAGTGGCAGAGCCAATACGCCCACCTCCCTAGTGTTCCTGGGGGCCTTTGGGCATCCTCTTTCTGGCTCCCTCCTTGACATCCTCTGCAGACAGGCCTTGAAAGCTTTCCCAAGAGGGGTGTCGCTTCTAAGCATTTGTCACCTTGCTTGGTGGTGGAATGCTTGCCTAGGAGAAAGAGTAATTTTATCACAAGATGAACCTCTGGAGTAACAGCAGGTGGTATCATTACCATACCGGCACGACAAACATCGCCAAAGTAGCTGGCAGAGAACAACAAGCGTTTGCTGCCACTCACGGGCTTGTGGGCATCCTGCCGATCTGGGCCAGGCTCAGAAACGGTTAACTTAAACAGTGGCATCTATGAAACATTTTCATCTTTATCTGCTATCAATGACCCTTTGAAGCAATTTTTAACTTCAAAGATGTCTTTTTGCTTTTAATAACAGTTTATAATTATATAAGTAATAATTAGTCCATGACAAAATATTTAAATGAAAAACAGAAAAGTACCAAAAAAATTCCTACTATTCATTACCCAGAGATACCCCCACAGCGTTCTGGTTCAGGTTTTTCCTGGGTGTGTGTGTGTTTTATAATAACGTATATGTATGGTATATAAGTTATATGTACCTTTTTCAGCCAGCAGTGTGGTGGATGCGTCTTCATGTTAGTAAGTACTCTCCACAGCTTGATTTCTGGTGGCTGAAAGCAGCCCGTGAGGTGGGTTGCTCCTCGTGTCTCTGGTTTTTTCGTATTATCCATAACACACAACACCTGTCCTTAAACGCTCACCTTCCCACTCCTCTCTTGATTTCCTCAGGATTCCTTAACTTCAAGGATTCCTTGAACTTTGGGCTGTAGGTCATGACTTTCAGAGTATTGGAGCCCAGTGTGCAGGTGGCCCCGCGGAAGAGGAGGGAGGGCCCAAGGGCACGCATTACACTTCATTTTTCTCAGCTCACAGCAAATGTGAATCCGCCCTTTTGTTTTAAAGCTTGGTCTTAAGAAAGTTGTTTATGAAATTTAACGACTCTTGAGGTGTCTTCAGAGTTACAATGGCATATACCAGGTGCCATTCAATGCGACCTGGAAGCCTCTGGAACCTGTGGGCTCCTGAGGCTTCTGCTAATCCAGTTTGACCTGCAGGGCATGTGGGGGGTTGGCTTTTGGAGGGCAGAGACGTTGAGCCTCAGGCTGGTTGCTGGGTCCTCCGTAGAGAAGATTCTGTGTTTGGCAGCACTGTAGCTGTTACAAGGGGACGTGGGCATTCGTGTCTCCACAGTGACCTCAGCCAGTTCTTTCCAGAAATAGAAGGGAATGCTGGGGCAAGGGGCGTCGTTTGGCACCACGTTTAGTGAAGGTGGAAGGACGTTTTTAGCAAGGTCAGCAGACAGCTTCACTTAAGGTCAAGCGTGAGGAGGGGACCCCCACGTTTAGTGAAGGTGGAAGGACGTTTTTAGCAAGGTCAGCAGACAGCTTCACTTAAGGTCAAGCGTGAGGAGGGGACCGGATGGAAAGGTTGC